CCGTCAGAGTAAACAGAGCAGCTCATTCATTTCCTCCCATGGACATCTTGATGGGACTGAGCAGAGGAACAGCAGAACAGCTACCCCAATCAACTTACCAATAGCGGTTGGCTCAGTAAGGTATGGGATGGGAATTTGCCACAGGTGAAGGTAGAACATCAAGGCCTTATTATCCTCCAATCCTTTCAGAATATGTCTGTGAGTTATAAAGTTTCACAGGTGATTCCAGGTGCAGCTTCACCCATACCCTGGCGATTTGCCTTTAAGTTTGAACTCAGCTATGTTTTTATTAATGTAGTATTATCAAATGGGCAGCAGCATGGATTGGAAAATGCTGTCTTATGTAGGAAGTGTGTCCCCACAGCAGTTAGTCTGTGTTTTAATTGCAGTCATGCAGGATCAGGCTGTACTGTGCTAGGAGCTGCAAAGCAGGAGGGACATCCTGGCCCCTGTCCCGAGCAGCTTTCAAACTAGTGGAAGTACAGTAGTAAATGCATACTGGAAAGAGAACTGGAATATATTTTGTTTCAAGAAACACCTCAGGTGATGGATCTATCTGTAGCACAGTATTTTCATTTCAAAGAATTTGTGGCTTACAGCCTTTTTCTAGTTGTTTCAAGAAAAAAATAGCTTGGCAATAAAGGACAATTAGGAAATTTGAAGATGTTATTTGGAAAACACTGTTAACTGCATTTTTAAGAGCATCTTCAAGCTGTTTATGTTTTTAAGGAGTAATTAAATTATTTGAACAAAGTCACCGTAACTTCAATGGCTAACTTTATCTCAGGTTACTAATTTTCAGCAGTAGAGTAAGTTCTACAGTCCATGCTCTCAATTAAAATGTTAACATTTATCTTGAATTGTTACACAGTTATGCTAGTTCTAAAGACATTTCCTTTCTTCAGGGTAAGGGAGAATGTCTCCACACATGCTGACAGGTAGATGCTTACAAGTGCTGGTGATTACAGGTGTTATTGTGACCTTTAAGAGTTGTTCCTGCATTTGCTGTAGACTAATTGCTTAACATTTCTCATTGTTTTCACCAGGGAGTAAGTGCTTTGTATTCATCTAGATTTATGATCTTGCTGTTACTTTGCTCACTCAGTTATTCCATAGCTCAGCTCCTCATTTAGCCCAAACGTTCTGTGTCTTGTATGATGGAAACAAAGAGTGGTATTTCTCCATGTTTGCAAATTATTAGATTGCAAATGCTTTATATAAGGGAAAACGTATTAGCTGCTCATATAAATGCCAAGGATTCTTTTGATAGTTAGGCCTATCAGATTATCAGAGCCTCATGCTAACATCCTGTCTTTTGCCAACTTCATGAGACACCTCAGCAATTCACTTAGTCTCTTTATATATATATATATATATATGTACACATATATATACAATTTTTTCGCCTTCTATGCAAAATGAAAACATAGCATTTATGTATTTCACAAAATGGTTGTGAAAACGAATGCGCTGAAGACTGGAGTGGGTAAATATGTTCACGTGGGTTTCAGAGCCCCAGAAAATGATGTTAGGCAAGTTATTCTTTTAAAAGCTGTGATTTGTTTCTTGGGGGAATCACAGCAGAAGTAGTTTATGGAACAATTTGAAACAGAACTTCTTAAAGAGCAGAGAGGGTCTGTGAAGCCTGAGACATGGCACTCTAGGCAGAGAAATGGCCCAGGAAAGAGGTCAGATACAATGTTACAGCCAGTGTTATTAGTGGCTGCTTTATAGATTTATTTCTGTGTAATCTTGTCTGCTCGTGCAGTGTTGATTTGTTAAGTGGATGTACAATTTTGTCACCTCAAGGGGTATTTTATATCTAATCTTATAAACTAAAGGATTTGGAAACCTAATCAATACCTGTATAGATTACTTCAGAGGGAAGCTTTCATGTTACAGGAATTATTTGGTGAATCACCAGATGGTGCCCTTCTGGGTCAGGCTGTGTGGAATACCTGCCCAAATGCAACATGAGACTTCACTGCAGGACTTGCCAGCTCTTGGATGAGTCCTGGAACAGAGGTTTATTCCTTATGGATTAATGTTCTAGCGCTCACTTTGTTTGGTTTTTCTGCTGAGAGCAGAGTATCAGTATTTTGACCAGTACTCTGCCCTAGTTTCATTGCCTTTGTTTTCATCTTTGTTTAAAGTGGCTATCATACATTCTACTTCTTATTTTGAATTGAAGCACATAACAAAAAATCCATTTATAAAATAAAACCGGCATCTCTGTCAAAAGTCATCTAACAGTGACTAAAGCAGCCCAATATAACATTGATTGGGATAAAAATTTGATTATGTGAGTACTACTTCAATGCTATAAGCATGAAAAAGTTCCTAGAATAATTTGCTGTAGAACTACAGTGAGTGACTATGAAATATTAATAAATAGAAAGCACATACTGCATACCAACTTCGTAGGAAGCAGTATTTGAATTAAAGCCATTTGCCGTTTAAAAAATAATATTTTAAAAATTAGGCCTCATTAGATGAGATTTTTTCAAAATTGAGTTTTGATCTTGTTCCATTTCTAATAGATAGGTTGAAAACTCTTGACAAGAGGAAAAAGGATGTTAATGGAATTATTTGCAGAGTCTTAATGACACAAATGCTAGAAGGCTACCCTCTGATAATTAATGTTATTACAGGTTACATACAGATTCCTGGTCAAGAATATATTGCAGAAGAGCTCTTAGTAGACCAGCTGGCACGTGGCTGCCAAACAGTTTGAAGGAATGTATTTGGGATTCTCTACCCAGAGCAAATGGGAGATGAACTGATCAGAGAAAGGGAAGCAGGAAGCAATGACTGAACTGCCTGCACACCTGATCCTGCTTCCTCATCCCCACAGTGACACTTATTCCAAATATGTGTTGTCCCTGCAGGACATAAAGTGCTTTGATACTCCGTTCTGTGTAATTATTTGTTTTCTGTGGATGAAAAATACCTTGTAAGCACAAAATATTAATTTTAAAAAAATGCTTTTTCCAGCAAGGAAATTGGATTGGGAGATAAGTATATATGTATAAAGCTTTGTTTGTACTTGGAACTTCTTACAAAAATATGCTTGGGATCTACAGTACAGAAAAGACTTAAAGCACAGGTGGTTTAAATTCTGTACAACCAAGCCATGAAATAGCTTTACTTGCCTGAAATAAAAAAAAAATAATCACATCTTCCATTTTTCCAGTCTTAGGTTTCTAGGCTTAGTCAATAATATCTGCTCATTTATCAGCCCCACACAAGACAAGTGGCCCTCTCACACCCCAGTTCTGGAACCAGAGCCCTTCTCAGGCCAAGCTGTCACGAGTTGCAGGGCATCCTGCAGCCCCTGCCCAGCGTCACTGGGGCCATGTTGCACTCGCACCCAGCGCTGTACAATGAAAAGGTGCACCTCGGGGGCCGTTTGCAGATGCAGCACTCTGTGGTAGTATCACTATCATGGGAATGCTTGAGAAAAGGTGCACCTCGGGGGCCGTTTGCAGGTGCAGCACTCTGTGGTAGTATCACTATCGTGGGCATGCTTGTGGTGTCTTCTCTCTTCAGTGGGACAGATTTACCAGCTGTTGTTTGCTAGTCCAGTAGCATCAGTAGGAGTGAGGTTCAACAACTCGCTCTGAGTGCAGGGCTCCTTGCTGAATGAAGTCTTAGCTGCTTACATCAGTCCCACTACTCATCTAGTACTATTTATTCTCCTAGCCTCTGTGTATTTGGAAAGAGATGTAGAAGGGTGGAGATCACATCCTGAAATTTCCCAAGCTCATATTGTCAAGTTCAATTTTATTTCCAGCTTGTAGTAGACCCCGGAGATCACATCCTGAAATTTCCCAAGCTCAGATTGTCAAGTTCAACTTTATTTCCAGCTTGTAGTAGACCCCAAACAGATTTGATCTAAATTTTAGTGCCAGTTTTATTGTGAGAAGGAGCTTGAAATGGATGGTGTTCATACAGTTGATCTATTTTTAAAAGAAAATGCTCTTTAACTCTCAGAATATCAGATTTGCCACTTTACTTTTGCATAAGGATCAGTTATATTTGGAACTGAAAACCTGAAATACTTGGAAGGTGCAACTGTCAATGTTTTATGGCTTGCGGTGAAGGATTCTTAACCTTTTCATTCTAGTTACTAAGGTGCAACTGTCAATGTTTTATGGCTTGCAGTGAAGGATTCTTAACCTTTTTGTTCTAGTTACTCTGATAATGCTTCTCCCCACATCAAAACACAGGGGCCTACAGGAGAGATGGGCAGGCACTCTTGATCAGGGAGTGTAGCGGTAGGACGAGGGGTAACAGTTTTGAGCTGAAAGAGGGTAGATTTATGTTAGATTTTAGGAAGAAATATTTTACTGTGAGGGTGGTGAGGCAGTGGCCCAGGTTGCCCAGAGAAGCTGTGGATGCCCCATCCCTGGAGGTGTTCAGAGTCAGGCTGGATGAGGCTTTGAGCAACCTGGGCTAGTGGGAGGTGTCCCTGCCCATGGCAGGGGGTTGGAACTAGATGAGCTTTAAGGTCCCTTCCAACCCAAACCATTCTATGATTCTATGATAAAATAAATTTTAATTGATCCCTCCATCATGCTTTTGGACTCATTTAAGATGCCTCCAATTGAAATCTGCTGTTTATGTGAAATTAGCTATCACTGTTTTTCAGTTTACACAAGGAGCTCTTAAGAGAAGGGTTCTTGTAAAAGATTACAGATTTCTGATTCCTGTTCCCCAAAATTCATTTCTGTGAAAGTAAATATTTAACATCTGCCAGGCTCAAATAACTAAGCTACGCTTCAAAATAAATTGAATAGCAAAATCCCAATAGTCCTAATTTACCAGTAACATCTATAAACATTTATCTTCTATCCAGTGGGACTTTGACAGACCTGCATGTGTGTAGCCATAGCAAGCACAAAGCAATACCTCTGCAGCTGTTTTATCCTTGCCCCCCACCGAATTTGTCGGTGCTGCTGAGACAAGAGAGGTAATTGGATGTTCTTCTTTTCTGGCAGGTACTGGACTGGATTGAAAATCACGGGGAAGCCTTCCTGAGTAAACACACAGGAGTGGGGAAGTCTCTACACAGAGCACGTGCGCTGCAGAAAAGACATGATGATTTTGAAGAGGTAGCACAGGTAAGAGTCTGAATCAGTGACTTCTGCTTTCTGGCTTGATTTTTGTTACTCCTCTTGTATATTGAGAAAAAAACTATTGCTGTTTTGGGTCACACTGCTCTGTTCAAGCATTTGGAGCTGACCAGTATCCTGTCTCCCAGGTTTGAAAGTTAGCATGCACACTGCAAGAACATGCTAGCAGCAGGACTTACAATCAGAAAATCACCACGTTGGGTCAATAGGAGGTCTCAAAGCCTATAAGAAATTGCAGGCAGTTTATGGGACAGTAATGCAAAGTGTTGGGACATCGAGGAGGATGGTTCTGAGTAAGAGTGAAAAAATATTAATTGTAACTCTTATAGTGGAAACTGAGGTCCTTGACAATAAGGTGGAAAGCAGCAGCTAGTAAAGAAGCAGGGGAAGCACTGGAGTGTGGTTGCAGTAACGGCAACTACTCTTCCACTCTTTCTGAGAGTACAGTGTATTATGTGGAAGGGGTTTTTATTTGTTTTGGAATGAGAGGCAATTATTACAGGTAGATTACATTATTGTTATTAATGTTATCATTAATATTTATTAATTTTCTTCATAGCACAGTGTAAGCAAGGCATATCCAGGAATTTTGGTATGAAGCCAAAAGCATGGTCATAGCAGATGTTTAAACATACATCCCATCTTTATTTATAGAATTTAAAAGAAATAGGACCTTTGATAAGTTCTTCCAAGGACTGAATAGCTTTTTTCTTACTTAGAAGAAAGAAATCTTATGGCTAGAAATTATCCAGTCTCAGCTATGCCTGTCAGATCATGATACACGTTTTTGTTATAGACTTGAAGCATCCTCTATCCGAAATTGATCTTCTGTGAAGGTACTTCTGCTTTGGGTATTGCAGATAAAATCCTGATTGATACATTCTGTTTTACATGGATTAAATGCTTGCTCTTCCCAATGCACACAAGGCAGGTTATTACTCAAATATTTCACTGTGGCATAAGACAAAAATGTATTAGGCTTTAGTTTTGTTTTTCTGTAGTACCCTTCCCTTGTGCTGGCCTAGTTTAGTTTAAGATGTTTCCAACAGCAGGGACATTATCTCTTTCACTGTGCCCTCAGGCAAACTATTTCACTGCCTGATGGCAGCTACTGGCTAGATATTTTTTCCCCTCTATTCAATTTTTTCCTTCTTTCAATCTTTTTTTCCCCCCTTGTTTATATCCCTTTAGTCTTATTAATCTCTCTTAAGGAGATAAATGCCAGGGAAGGAGGTGAATTAACAACTCTGAAATATCTACAGAATGTTAGCATGTCTTCTGCTATGTGCTTTTTAACCATGTTAAACATATTTAATCCTGCTAGCATGTTCTTGTTAACCAATCCCTTAAGTATCTTTTCTTACCTATTTCTTTGGATCCATTCAGTTTGCCAGTATCAATCCTTCTTTTAATTAGATGTTCAGCACTTGATGAAATATTCTGTTGCTTGTCTCGCTAGTGAGCTTCAGTGTTACGTTTCAGCTGTGATGGGATATCTTTGCATGCCATTTACAAATCACACAGCCTGAAAGCAGCCGTTCTAGATTGGCGGGTCTCCAAAATTTCATGGGACATCCTGTGGATTTAAGCCTTCTGTCAATAGGATTGAATTTCTAGAATTACCTTTTACAAATTTATTAAAATGGACATTAGGCTGGAGGTTGCAAACCACAGTTCTACAAGGCCTCATCCAAAAGCACAACTTAGTGGGAGGTTTCATCCTGAAATCAGTATTAGGTACCTTTCCAGAAGATGTGCTTGAGACAGATATTATTGGATGCAGTACTGCTGTAATGAATGAGAATGAAGATCATATACACGAGCTTAAACTAGGTGATTTCATGGCATTAATATTTTCTAAATCTCCCTTCTCTCTGATACATTAGCTTCATCATTCCAGTTACATCTCACATTTCTGTATTACAGTTGGCTTTTCTTTTTTCTTTTTTACTTTCTTTTTGAGTAGCACCTCACTAGAAGTGTAGGAAACAAGATAAGAACAGGGGAGAAAAGACAGAAAAATGACATGGTCTTGACAGCAGAGATGATAGCAAGCTGTGTAACTGTCTGCACATGGAAACAACAACTCCCTTAGGGCTTGCTCCACTGGATGATGTTATTTAGAGATACATCCCCTCATCATCGCTTAGGAACCTTACAGATATGCACCTTGCATGTGTAGGTACTAGGGTAAATCAAAATAGAATTACTTCACTTAAGACTTTTCTAACCCCTCTGTTAGTCCTCCTTCTATACTGTTTCAGCATGTCTGTCTGTGAATAACTTCAGACACATTCACTTCACGAGACCAAATTCAGACCAAAGGGGGTATGAATCTAATCTAGTTCACTGGATGACCACATATGTTCAAATGAAGGTGGGTGTTTGGGAGGAGGATGGAGAGGAAAGAGAAAAGTATAGTTTGCATGGGTATAGAATCTCTTAGGTTTCTCTGAAGCTGTTTATTTTACATCTTATGTGATATCATCAATGAGTATCTCATTGCTCTGCCTGGACAATTGTCACTGCACTTCGAGTATGGAGTTTGTGGTGCCTCCTAATTAGAAATAACTGACACAAGTCGACCTGGTTACTTCTCCCCAGACTGTGACAGGAGTAGTTTCCTCTGGTGCGTTCACAGCAGAATACCATTGCTAATTTATGAGGCCTGTCTGCAGTGTGACGCTGGAATGTGGTGCTGGCAAATGGACACAGGGACATGCACTGACGGGAAGTGAAAGGAATCTCAGGCTTTATCCGAGGTCAAGGACTTGAGAATATAATACTCTCTGCTTTGGAAAGAGTAATAGCGAGGGTAAGAGGGGAGGGCATAAATTTATCACACCTGGAGTTCTGCTTCAGAAGCTTCTAGTGAGGTCAATTTTGTGGTTAGGCAATAAATCTCTTCCCCACTCTGATTGTGACCAGTTTTTATTCTTCCTGATTCCCTTCTTGATACTTAACTCTTTATAGTTCATTGGTAATTAATGAATTCTAACTTAAGTTTGATTATTTGCCATTTTTCTCAAGACAGTGAACAGCTTTGCCGTGGCTAGATTGGATGACTGGCATTGCTTATTCCCAGTATAGCCATATAATAAAGCACATGTGGTAAGATCCTGAAATAAACTGATGAGTTTGCCCATTCCCCTCATCAGGATGTTAATTAACAAGAATGATTTGTGTGTGTTTTTCTTAAAAAATAAAATAAAACATGTAGTACTGACAGACCTGCTGGGATTGACAGGATAAGCAATAGTATTTGCTATTGGCAGTTCTCTGAAAAAAAACACTTAGCCTGCCATACAGCATAAATTTATTCACCAAAATCTACTTTCTTTTGGCTGCAATATATTTGTTCTTATCTCCTGCTGTTTCTGGAAGGCATTTGCAGAGGTCAGACTGGAAGCTATTTTCGTGAGTTTTCTTAATATTTTCAACAGTGGGTACAACATTCACGTTTTTGACTGCTGTCTAACTGCATGTAAAGAAGAGCAGTGGGTCTGGAATTGCTGCGCTGAGAAATGCTCTGATTGAATGACCTGCCAAGGCACTAGATTGAGAGGTAGAACGTGCTCCCTCTATGTCTGATTAGAAACTCCACAGATTTATAAATCTGGATGTAATGATCCAATCAGGCATGGCCCAAATAGATCATATTCCTGCATACAGCTCTGCTCGGAAAATGTCAGTGATTTTAGAGCGCTGCATTCTGGGCAATAGGAAATGTAATTTGGGGTCCCTTTCTCTCATAACTGCTGTTCAGACAATGCTCTGGCAATTTTTCTAACTGTATTTATTCTACATGGAGCACACAGATGGCAAATGTTTGAATTTGGATTAAAAAGCCTGAGCTCCTGGGAGGGAGGTTGCTATCTTGCATATACCTGGAACAGTTTCTCAGCCAGTGCTGATACTGTTCTCAGGCTGCTGCCCTGAAACCGCCAGCCTTAGGCACAGTGCCTGCCACACAGGGAAATGTAGTAGTCAGGCATTATTGATGAGGTAGGTATCAAGATATCACCAAAGAAATACCACTCTGGATGTAGCTGCAGTGTTCCTGCAATGACAGCCTCTTTGCTTGCCTGGAATTACTTTGTGTGAATCACATAACCATAGTTCAGCCAGTTATGATTGTAGACCCAAAGATAATTTCCTTTTAGACTCTAACTTTTCCTTATTCAGGGTTTTTATCCTGAAAACCAGTGTGCCTTCCAATTGGAAAATTCTGTTAATGGGCTTGTGTTCCCAAAATCTCCCAACGCTTCAGTGCTGTTGAGTTGAGCTGTACGTGCTGGAAACCTGTCTCCTATTCTCTGTGTGTGAAGAGAGGGGCCACAGATCACAGATCCCTCCTTCATTCTGGGACTCCAGGCAATTGGCGGTTAAGGTGGCCTTCTTGACATCCTCCTCTGCTCACAAAGAGCATCACTGCATTTGTGCTGGTGCTGCGTTAAGAAAGATACTGGTGAAACTGGTCTGTTAATCACTCTGCTGCCGCAGCACTCGGTGGTTTTGTGCTTTGAATGATCTGAAACAAGTATTTCTCTACCCTTTCTGCATTTATGAGCTTTTCCATCAGCTGTGCTCCTAGGATTTCCTACCGGGCAGGTTTACCTGCATTTTTGGCATCCGACACCAGTACGTGTTGCAGCCTGCAGATGGCACTCGCGATGCGCTGTACGAGCCTTTCGCTCCGAGAACGGAGCTGGTGGTTCCCATCCGAACTAACCAAACATTGTCTCGACGTGAAAAGAAGCAGAAGTGGAAGCTGGCTCACACGCTGTCCCCTTGGTGTTCTCCCACCCCTGCCAAAACCTGCGTTGCTCAAGGTCACGCAGAAAAACAACTCTTTTTTTTTTTTTTTTTTTAGCGCAAAGCTGGGCGGTCCATGCTTTAACACAGGGTGGTACTTGTCATCTGTGTTTATGGGATGAACTGCTCTCAGATCTGTGGAGCTGCCTTCAAGTCTTTTGGGCCACATTATG